ATTGTTGTCACCAAAAATTTCATTTGAAAAGAAAGAATCGACATACCAGAACCACCATAAAATCGGGTTAGAACCAGTTCACCATTCACAGCCATAACAAAACATACCAACATTAAAACCATCGCAAAAATCCACCCAAAAATAACATTTGACATATGTTGTTCTAATAACTTCGATTTTTTGGCTAGTCTAGACAGAGCCTCTAACTGCAATGCTTTCTTTTCTTGTGATGCCATTTACAGGTTCCAGTAGATCAGCCCTGTGTTTCTTTGCAGATGGTGGGCAGTATTACCCGATCACCGAGTAATTCAACATACTAGACCACAGAGGAGGACAAGAAGGAAGCCCTAATCAGTTAAGGGGTCCCGTAACTATTACCAAACCCCTAACCAACTTGGTGGTTTTCCATGAAAAATAAGCAATGTTTAACTTTTTAAGTGCAAAATAAATTCTAATAAAAAAGGAATTTCTGCATTGTTCATTCCAGTATTCACTTAAATTAACAGCAAAAGAGAAACTAATTTATGTTGACATCCTATTTCAATCATCCAAATGAAAAGCCAAGGGTACAAATGGCAAAAACCAACAAGAAAGGGGATGAAAAACCATAGAACAGTCCCCACCCTACCCGTAGTCTATGCTTAGTGCAACATTAAGATACATTGCAAGCTCTACTGAAATAATAACACATTTTATCGACAGGTTGGGTTGCGTTGCAAGGTTAAAGGCGGAAGTAGAAGAGTCATTCAATCTTGTTCGTCTAAACTATCGTTAGGGGAGAGAGAGAGAGAGAGAGAGTAAACCCAAGAAACAAAACTGAGTTAAGTTTGCTCTTCAAATATTGGCAGTTTAGTGGCAGCCCTTGTGAAATGCTTAACTATGGACACGTACCAGAGTCTTCTCATTGAGTATAATTGAAATTGGTTGCATAGAATTGGTACGAGTTGGCACACCAATTCCATGCAAAATATTTCTTCAATCTCACTTAAAAGTTCTCTACACACACCCAAAGACAAAGAAAGAAAGGAAGGCCTCAAATTGAAGTAACAACATACTAAAAGCAATTGGAATCAATGTTTTAAGGACAAGTCCCCTCTAATAAACATATATATATTTTATTTTTTGGTTGGTCATGTTTCTTGAATTTAAATAAAACTCATTATATATATGGCAAACTTCAGTTAGTATACCCCAAAAACTAACGGGACTTTGTCCAATAATATCCTCTTACCTTGTGAAAATCTTGTTTTCTTGAAGTTAAGGGTTCAATTTTAACTACCCCTATCTCACCAAAAAAAAATATATATATATATATACCCCAAATTCCCTTTGCTTCCCTGTGAATTAGAAATTTCCACATACGCCTCACGTAGTTTATAGACTTGTACTCAATAATTCAACATATCTTACTAAAATTGCAGCTGACGCGATTATTTTGCAACTTAGACTGGAGAATTCATCTCTTGATGACAAAAATACCCTTGTATCATTCTTCTCGCTTTTTACACTGTCTAGCCTTTCTCTCTCTCATACGCACAAACCCATCTCTGTAAAACAAGTCTTCCCTAAGAAGTTTGAAGACCCGGGGTTGTCCACCTATATTACTGATCAATCAAATTAAGGCCACAAGCATATGTAAAATCCCAAAGAGCATTAGTTAGATTAATCCATAATCAGACAATTTGCTAAGTTTTTTGACAGAAATGACTACGCGTCACTCTTTCAGATGATATCATGTGTCTAACACTTGATCATTCAATAAAAAATTTAAAGGTTCATTTATATAGGAATTATTCTAAACGGCAAACTAACGGCTGTTAAGTTCGGGTGCGCATTGATATAAATTTATATATTTGAGGGTGTAAATTTAGATTTTTGATATTTGAAGGTAAAAATTAAAATTCGATCTATCTTTTGGAATGTAATTTGCGATTAACCTTTTAGGAAATCCTTCTAAATCCATTTTTTTTTCTTTTGTACATGAGATTTATATATAAATTCCATCCAATTTTTTGTTTGATTAGTAGTATAAACACAAGTGGGGCCTACGAATTAATCATAATTATAATAAAATATTTATCATATAATTGACTAAATTGTCCTATCCAATTCAATTTAATTTGGTAAATTAAAGATAAAAAAAAATTATCATTATGTCATGGGTTGATTAATTTCAAACCCACCCACCCCCCATGAATTGGTTGAAACCCATATTCATGATCATGACTTTAACCTTATGGACCGGTTACCCGAAAACATATTAATTTCGGTGATTAAAAACTTTTAACTAAACATATGATTAAGTAATCTATTGAACTATTTTACTTAAAACCACTCTTACATACCCTCCAAAACCCATCAAACAAACAAGCCCCTGTAGTTATGAATTGTGAATGGCTTATCCATACTTTATGAAAATATAAATTGTTTGAACCCCCATTAACTCTATTCATATCACATTGTTTAGAGAATTTATTGAGTATCTGTATTGATATTTTTGGTTGCCACAAATATGAGCATATTAAGTGCCTCAACTCTAGTCAGTCCTGACCCCAAATCCTACCTACATAAACTGCAGCAAAAACAAGAGAACCGTCAAGGTTGGCCCCAAACCCTCCTCATGAACCTTCATGGGAAATGCTATATAAAACTACTCGAAACTTTATTTCAAACTAATACTAATTGATAATTTATGTTTTTTTTAATTTTTTATATGTATCTACTCTTAAAAATGCTTCAAAGCATTCTCTTTTTGTATAACCCTTAGACCAAAAGCCACAAAAACAAAAGAATAGAAAATAAAACAAAAGAAAGGAAAACAAAAAAAGTAAGAAAGAAATGAGTACTTATATAAACATTAATAGCCTAAAGTATGCGGTTTGTGTCAGTTTGGTTCCTAATTTTTGAATTGTGTTAATTTGGTTTCTCAATTTTTTAATTTGTGTCATTTTAGCCAAAGTAAAAAACGTCAATCTGAATTGATTAACATAGATGTTCACGTGATTACACTTGAAGGGTCCTTTTGGTTTCTCAAATTTTTAACTTATATCATTTTAGTCCTTCAAATTTATAATTTTTGTCACTTTAGCTCCTAAAGTTTTCAAACAATGTGCCTCAAGTGTAATCACGTGATATGTACGTGACGATCTCCGTTATTAAATTCCAACTATCGTTTTCGATTCGATCAAAGTAACACAAACAGAAAAAATGAGAGACCAAATTGATACATTAAAAATATTAGGGACCAAACTGACACAAAACGCATAATTTGAGGACTACAATATATTTTATCCCACTTTTTATAGCTCTTTGTGGTGTGAACTAGCAGCCATTACCTTATCATAAATGCCTAAAATTCCATGTCAACAACACAGCAAAGTCATGAACTAAGAGCACTCCAGTCGGCCTTTGCTTTGGCTTTGTGTTTCCCTTCAACCTTTGTTTTTGTTCCCACTCATTTGTCCCAAACCAACTCAAAGCATATTAATGATTGTGAGACAGATCTGGGGTTTAAGCCAAATATATAATTCTTGATTTTATCTCCAGAATATGTTTGTTAAATTGGTGTTTCCGAGACAAAGGTGACAAATTTTATGTCAAACCTTAGCTCTATAAATTGCTCTCCAAGTCATTAATGTATATTGCACTACTACTACTATGGCTCCCCTAAAAAATCTCTTTTTTCTTCTGATCACATATTTACTAGTTCCCCCTTCCTTTGTTCATGCAACTTTCAATGTTGTTTCAGGAACAAAAGATGGGTCTGAAAATTGGGGATATGTCGAAGTTCGTCCCAGTATGTCCAAATTTGTCTTTCTTCACATCTCACTTTCTATAGTGTCGCGTTGTTGGTGGTGCAATTGTGTTATCATGATTATTATCATTTTATTTAAATCCCTTACTCATTGATTTCTTCTAATACAGAGGCCCACCTGTTTTGGTGGCACTACAGAAGTCCTTACAGAGTTGAAGATCCATCCAATCCATGGCCAATAATTCTTTGGCTCCAAGGGGGTCCTGTGAGTAGTTGTTCTAATACATTAAACTTAAAAATAAAATGGTAGAATTAATTAGATGATAACTCTAATTTTTGAAAATCTGATATTTGAATTCAGGGAGCTTCTGGAGTTGGATTTGGAAATTTCCTTGAAATTGGACCATTGGATATAAACTTAGAGCCCCGAAATTCAACTTGGCTCAAGAAAGCTGATCTGCTATTTGTGGTACCAATTTATAGCTCTTTTTTCTTGTAAAAATTGACTTAAAATGGATCATTGTTTACAGTTGGCAATTGTATGCTCCCGGATTAAACATAAGAATCCAAATGAAATTGTGCCTTTCTTAGGATTGATTTCTTCATTAGTGTTCACTTGTGATTTGACCTCTCATTTTACCAGTGCGCTTTTCATGTGATTGTAGGATAGCCCAGTTGGAACAGGTTTTAGTTATGTCGAGGATGAAAAATTGGCAGTTAAGACTGATGACGAGTCAGCAACTGATTTAACAACCTTGTTGAAGTTTCTGTTCAATAATGATGAGAGCCTCCAGAAAAGCCCTTTGTACATTTTTGCAGAATCCTATGGAGGGAAGTTTGCTGTTACACTTGGGGTGTCAGCTCTTAAGGCAATTGAAGCAGGGGAATTAAAACTTCAACTTGGAGGCAATAATTTCTTTCTTCTATCTAGATACTCTTACGCACTGTTTCATTAGCATCCCATATGCATTTTGGTTTCAAGTAAAAAAAATCCCAAATGCTTATCAATGAGGAATCAACTTGAGTATATTAGATTGTAGTTGGCAAGAGGGAAATGATAATCTCGATTTTCTATAATAAACCCCCTAACACAACTTCTAAACATCTATGCTTTATGGTGTCTTGGGTACAGGAGTTGCTTTGGGAGACAGTTGGATTTCACCTGAAGATTTTGTGGTATGTGAGTTTATGGCAGGTTATAATTGTTAGTATTGCATTTGGAAGAACGATCTTCAGTCGTATCATTCAGAATCCTTGTTAAAATATGCAGTTTTCATGGGGGCCACTTCTTAAGGATGTGTCGCGCATTGACAACAATGGTTTGAACCAATCAAACAGGTTTGCCAAATGAAACTTTACTAAACAAATATTAGTGAAACAGAATTAATCCAGCAAGCTTACTTTGTGAGAACAGCTTAGCTCTAAAGATTCAGCAGCAACTGGCAGAAGGGAAGTATGAAGATGCAACACAAACATGGCGTGATCTTGAAGATGTTATTTTGGAGCACAGTAATGATGTGGTATCTCTATTTTTCTCTCTTTCTCTCTCTCACAGACACATACTACCATTCAGAATAATCAGGCATAGTGTTGCATATGCAGGACTTTTATAACTTCATGTTGGATGCTGGAAATGGCGTTCCTACGTCAACAACAAAGAAATTGAAAGGGGTAGAAAAGTACTTGACATATCTCCGCATCAAGTTTTCATCAACCAATGGGGCATCAGCTGTTGACTTGGACAGCTTCATGAATGGGCCCATTAGAGAGAAGCTACAGACTATCCCAAAAAATGTAACGTAAGTTCTGTCAGCACCTGAAATTTCCCACTTTGGATTGAAAAAATAAATTGTGTCAAGCTTAAGTTAAAGCACAGAGGTGTAGCATGTATCCTGTATTAATATACAAAAATCAGAACTAATGAATGCATGTTTGTACAACAAAAATTCCTGATTCTTTCTGTAGTGAAAACTAGAAAGATGGTTGCTAATGTTTTAACAATCGTTGTATTACAGATGGGGAGGACAGGATGGCATTGTATTTGATGCCCTGGTTGGCGATTTTATGAAACCAAGAATCAAGGAGGTAAAAACTACTGTATTTAGACATTTGGCTAATTAAACATGGGAAAAATAGACACAATTTCTTCCCCATTTCAACAACGTTCTATGAGTTGTTTGTTTGTGTGGATTTGAACTTTATAATGTTTTTCCAGGTTGATGAGCTCCTAAACAAAGGTGTAAATGTGACCATATACAATGGGCAGGTATGGAGCTTGATTTTAGAACCCTGACTATCTTTTTATCCTGACAGTGGGGTATCATCTCAAATGTGCCATTTGGGCAAAAATGTAAAACTCGGATGTACAAAATCACCCACAAATGATGTACGTAAGTTAAACCCGAGTTTTAGGCAGCCAGAGAATCCAGACACCATGACTATCTTAGATTTGATTGACTTGTATTGTATTGTATGTTGCATGCCCACCATGACAATGTCCTGTAACTGATATTGCTTTATGGTTGACAGATTGATCTCATATGCTCAACCAAAGGGGCTGAAGCATGGCTTGACAAACTAAAGTAGTAACACTGACCTCATTTGTGTTGGCATTTTGTAATTACCTCCTTTCTCAGAAGGTTAATCAATTGACTTGGATTCTTAGGTGGTATGATCTGCAAAATTATTTGAGCTCACCTCGGGCACCTCTGTACTGTGGAAGGGATGAAACAACTACCAAAGGGTTCATGAGCTCATACAAAAATTTGTTTTTCTATTGGATCCTTGGAGCCGGGCACTTCGTAAGTTTTTACTTCATCTTCATTCGTGTTGTTCTTATTATTGTTGTCACCAAAAATTTCATTTGAAAAGAAAGAATCGACATACTAGAACCACCATAAAATCGGGTTAGAACCAGTTCACCATTCACAGCCATAACGAAACATACCAACATTAAAACCATCGCAAAAATCCACCCAAAAATAACATTTGACATATGTTGTTCTAATAACTTCGGTTTTTTGGCTAGTCTAGACAGAGCCTCTAACTGCAATGCTTTCTTTTCTTGTGATGCCATTTACAGGTTCCAGTAGATCAGCCCTGTGTTTCTTTGCAGATGGTGGGCAGTATTACTCGATCACCGAGTAATTCAACATACTAAACCACAGAGGAGGACAAGAAAGAAGTCCTAATCAGTTAAGGGGTCCCATAACTATTACCAAGCCCCTAACCAACTTGGTGGTTTTCCATGAAAAATAAGCAATGTTTAACTCTTTTAAGTGCAAAATATATTCTAATAAAAAGGAATTTCTGTATTGTTCATTCCCATATTCACTTCAATTAACAGCAAAAGAGAAACTAATTTATGTTGACATCCTATAATTCNGTTTTCCATGAAAAATAAGCAATGTTTAACTCTTTTAAGTGCAAAATATATTCTAATAAAAAGGAATTTCTGTATTGTTCATTCCCATATTCACTTCAATTAACAGCAAAAGAGAAACTAATTTATGTTGACATCCTATTTCAATCATCCAAATGAAAAGCCAAGAGTACAAATGGCCAAAACCAGCAAGAAGGGGGATGAAAAGCCATAGAACAATCCNTTAAGTGCAAAATATATTCTAATAAAAAGGAATTTCTGTATTGTTCATTCCCATATTCACTTCAATTAACAGCAAAAGAGAAACTAATTTATGTTGACATCCTATAATTCCCACCCTACCCGTAGTCTCTGCTTAGTGCAACATTAAGATACATTGCAAGCTCTACTGAAATAACACATTTTATCAACAGGTTGGGTTGCGTAGCAAGGTTAAAGGCGCAATTAGAAGATTCATTCAATCGTGTTCATCTAAACTATCATTAGGGGGGAGAGAGAGAGAGAGTAAACCCAAGAAACGAAAATGAGTTAAGTTTGCTCGTCAAATTTTGACAGTTTAGTGGCAGCCCTTGTGAAATGCTTAACTATGCACAATTACCAGTCTTCTCACTGAGCATAATTGAAATTGGTTGCATAGAATTGGTAAGAGTTGGCACACCAATTCCATGCAAAATATTTCTTAAATCTCACTTAAAAGTCCTCTACACGTACCCAAAGACCGATAGAAAGAAAGGAAGGCCTCAAATTGAAGTAACAGCGTGCTAAAAGCATTTGGGATCAATGTTATAAAGACAGGTCCCCTCTAATAAATATATTTTTAAAAATTAGATTTTTATTTTGAATTTTATTTTAATAAATGTCATAATATAACATGAATTTTAGTTGTAAAATTTAAAATATTTGATATATTACTTTTAATTGGAATATTTTTGGTCTAAATATAATATTTTAAACTTGAGGGATCTAAGTATTACACGCCTACAAATTTCAGGAGGTCTAGATATAATTTACTAACGGATATTTTAACTAACATTAAGGGTAAGAGGCCTAAGTATTACGTGCATATAAATTTTAGGGGATCTATGTGTAATATTTTAAATGACATAAAGTTTGAGTAATTAAGTGACAAACTTCAGGGGATCTGAATGTAATTCTCCCTCGTGAAATTATACCGTTGATTAGAATTCTACTTTAGATCTGTTGATTTACAAAGAATACCAATTCCAAAGACTTCAATTAATCTGTTGATTCACAAAAAATACTAGAATAATTGAGAATAAAATAGAAGCTCTCTCAATTATATTACTCAAAAATTGTTTTGCCCTTAGGCTTACAAGGGTATAAATAATGCAAAAACCCTAAAACTAATTAAAAAATAAACAAAAGTGACCTAAATATCGTTAATTATATAATTAGACCATTAATACAAATTTTTACCAAAAAGGGAATTTTCTAAACTAATTATATTGCTAAATTTACTAATCACCCAAAATAAGGCAGAATTAACGGCGATCAATTCTTTCTTTAAACGGTGAAATTATTCAATTATAACATATTACCAAAAATAACAAAAATGTCATTTTCAAGCTCTAAATGAAGGAATTTGCCCAAAAATTCGCCCAGGGTGATCCCATTCCCTGTTAGGGATGCGCTTAGTTCAATTCGTTTCGTCATTGTTGACCGGACACATGTGTTTAAAAATTCATATATGTAGAAGTGTCTTTGCAAAGGTCAACCTATTTGACCAATCTAAACCACTCCAACATCGATCTCATCTATTCAAATACTGTGCTACTATGTGATGTGCATCAATTTTGCTACACCATTGATACCCATGTGATCCTAAGTTTAAAGAAAGGATAAATATCCTCTACAAGAAAACCCGGCCAATGCATGCGTTGACTTTGTAAATTGAGCCACTACCAACAGTGTTGTTGTACGGTGTTGGTGTTGCTAGTGTATGGAGCATATATGAGTTGTAGAGCAGTGATATGGGTTGTTGTCTTGTTTTGTTTGCCGAAGAAGAAAAATGGATATGAGAAGTTGCTGGACATGAAGAATGGGTCTGGAAGGGAAGAACCAAGTATTCATTATACCGATGATTTCAGGTGACAATATGAACGTGGTATCACAGACTAATAATATCAAAACAAATAAATAAATGGGGCTCACTAAACTTAATAAATCAACCCACGTATAATCAAATAATTATTCATTCATCCTCCATGTAAGCAAATTACTCTTTAAATGGGATTCACCTTACCTATTTAGTATTTTATTATTGGTTGATAATATCACGTCAATATTATTGACATGATATCACCGTTGCATTCCATACTTACACTAGAAGGAGTATTAAAGTTATTTAAACATTTTTGCTAAACGGTTTTAAGAGTACACTTTAGTCCACAAACTACGTGAGGATTGTATGGACATCCGAATCATATGGAAGCAAGGTGAATTTGGGTATACCTCAAGGAAGTAAAGTAAAGCTTGCTCTTATATACAAATAAATTATGGATAATTTGTGTTTGAAGGAATGATGCAATGTGAATGATTTTAAGAGGGATATTAGTGACTGTTAAATGAGTCAATTTGAGATCGTTAAATAAACTTATTGAAATCTGTTTTATTTATATTTGAAATGATGAGTAACTTGGCAAAGAGCAAAATAGAGAAAAAAGTATGAAAATAACTGCAAAATGGGACAACAATAAATGCGAATATGGTATGTCATAGGATCAAGTTCTAGATCACAGGATTCATCTCCCAACCTCAGCTAACTCACGTTCCAAACGTCAACCTCAATGAATTCACGTTCTCCCAACCTCAGTGAACTCACGTTCCAATTGTCAATCCACAGATTGGCAGCGAAATTGACACCAATCCCCAACTCAAAATAATGAATCCACAAAATCGACACCAATCGCCGAACTCAAAATAATGAATCCGCGAATTCCGTAATCCATATTCGTGTACTGCAGTATTTGGCATTTAACTCTCCGAGCACAAAATAGTTTAAACTAGTGAGTTATATAAGAAAACCATTTATTAAATATTATGATAATTAACAGAAATTTTATATGGAAGTTATATATTCTGATAGTTATATATGATAATTTTATGTACGAATAAATCGTTGATCTATTAAATCAAAATTAAATCACAAAATTTTCTTTATAATTCAAAATTTCCTTAACATTATTGTTACTATAGTGACACGAATGAGATTGTTTTTCTTAAAATATTCAATACCCAAATGAAGAATTTTACTATTTTAAATAGTAACACAAACTCAAACCTAATTTTGATTTTACTTTTCAAGTTTATTATGGAATCCATTGACAAAGTTACAATTGATTCTTTGCATTCAAAATATTTTCACAACTTTGGGATTCAGAAATAGAGTTAAGATATGTAATTTTACATGAAAGTTGAAGTTCATTGTAGGATTTTAAAAAATTTCTACATAATATATAGTTCAAACTGTCATTTTTTTTATTGCATTTCTAATTTAAAAATTGAGATTCATTATTACTAAATTAAAGTGTTATATAATTCGATTGTGTTGTGTTCTTTTTTGTGCAAGACATTCGAAATACATTGGTTGTGTGTCTGGGAAATAGATCATGTTACTGTGTGATAACTGAAAAATAGATTTCATAATTTCGATGTCTTGATATTCTTGATTGGTATTTGAGTAATTCAATTGTCAACGATGTGTTACTACTAAAAATTTTGTAAATTTTCAATTTGTGAATCGTATTTTCACTATAATCTTTCAAAAATTAATGTTATTGTGAAAACTGTATTACTTTGTATTTTGTAAAAATCGATGTGTTATTGAACACAAACATTTGATGTTACTGTAAAAATTAAATGTGTATGTTATATAAATATACGTCTAAAGGTTTGCAATTGATAGTGTAAGTAAAAATTGGAGTTGAATTTGTTTTACAATTTGAAATGGTGGAATTATTTATTTTGGGTATTGAGTATTTTAAGAAAAAAAATTTCATTCGTGTCACTATAGTAACATTTGTGTCACTATAGTAAAATTAGTGTCACTATAATAACACTAATGTTAAAGAAATTTTGAATTGTTAAAAAAAAATTGTGATATGATTTTCACTTAATAGACCAACGATTTATTTATACATCATGCTTCCATATATAACTATTAGAATATATAACTTTTATATAAAAATTTCGTTAATTATCATAATATTTAATAAACAATTTCCATATATAACTCAATCAAGGGTTTTCATATATATCTCAATAATTTAACATATGTGAAGAAGACGGTATGTCAGACAACGGTTATTACATTTTCAAAGGATAGAGGTACATTAGTATGACAAAGAGTGAATTTAAAATTAAATAAGGTTTTTTGCCAAATTTATCTCCAAATAAATCTATATAAGGGCCGACTTTCAAATTTCCCNTAAAAATGACATTCATGATCTAAATACATACATGATATTGTTATGTATATATAAACATTTATCACTATACACACTATGATAAGAGATTGAATCCATAGAAAAAATGTTAAAGCCCCAAAATTTTACTAAAAGGCATAATATTTTTTCGTTTTTGTTATTAAATTAAGTTTCTTGACAAAAATCAAACATGAATTTAGTTTTTTTTGTTGTTCACTTTAACAACAAGAACACTAAATTAAAAAAAAAATATGGGCACATAATACTTCGCCAAAAAATTTGCATTCTCAATTACTGCTATAAAAGATTAAAATTTTTAAATTGCACCCCCAA